GGAGGAGGAGGAGGAGGGTTTTGTTTCGGGAGCCGCTAAAAATGTTTCGTTGCTCGCCCTCTTTCGCGTGTTTAATGGCCACCATATGGAGAGACGGCCCGTTATTCACACAACGTTTTTTCCAGGGGCCAAAGGGTGGTTCCGATTCGAGTGATGTGACCGTCCGTTTGACGGGTAATTGGGGAACGCGTGTGCCACGAGGCGAAGTCATCCCCCCTTTTCGATTCCTGATCGATTGGTTATTTAACGCTGCCCGCGTCGAACTATTTGTCCGGCAAACTTGTTCGCGATTCCAGTTTCAAACGTTTGTCACTTGGATCGAGATGAAGAGAATAGCGAGAATTTCTCGTTGACGAGGTTTTTCCATCCTATGGGAATTTTTTGTTGGAAAAAAAGAATCGTTCCTTCTTCTTTTTCGTCGTTTAATTTTGAACGAAAACAGGAATGAGAAGGAATGTAAGTTATTTGTTAATATAGCGCAGAGGCGTGGAAGACCTGCTGCGAACGCCGAACGCGTCAAAAAGATCGTATAATCAGGGACGAACCAATATTTTTCGACGGAGGGTTAAACGAGGAGCAAGAAGGCGATCCCTTACCTTCTCGTATAACACACATTCTTTCCTCGACGCCCGCTGCGTTGCCTACCGGAAAAGAGAGGGGAAACGGCGTCCTCCATTCTTCGAAGCGAATCCTATATATCGGCGGAGTATTTTGCCATCCATCGTCGTTCGAATCGTATATAATGCGAACCATCAAAATGCGCTTAAACCAGGTCGAGTTATTACCACGGCAAATACGCGATACGGTTCACGAGGGCACGATGCCACACTGTAAATCACTCGTATACTCTCTCTCTCTCTCTCTCTCTCTCTTCGACACGCATTGGGTGACTGTTTGTCCCATCCTTTCTCGTCCCATTAATATTTAGATTACCTTTTATTCATGTGATTCAAGATCCAGTGAGTCGGTATCGAAACAGCATTGAAAATCCTTCAAGAATGTAATAAAGTAATCTTGAAAATTTTTCAGAGAGAAGAAACAAGAAAAGATACACAAGAAAAAAACTACGAAACGATAGAAATTAACGAAGCGCGAGGAAATTTATACTCGGGTTGGTTCGGAAATTGTTCGGGTATGATCGGCTCGCGTCGGGTCGCTCGAGTTAGAAATTATATTCGGGTCGAGTCGGCTCGGTTCGACGGTAATCGGCTTCTCGATGGAAATACACACACTTAGTTGTTTCTAAACACTTTGAATCGACGGTCGTATTCGAGCTTCGTCTCAAAAATATTATTTGAATTTTCTGGCAAAAATCTCACGAAATTCACGAAATATCTTCGATATCCCGACCCGATCCCGAAAAACTTTCCAACTTGTATTATTTTTGGATTCTTGGACATCTTTGAATACATCAGCGATGAATACATAGGCGATCGAACGAAACGGCGTAGATTCTGACGGATTATATTGACTCGTGAACGGGATGAATAAGCAACCGTTGGAAGTGTATCGAAGCCGTAAGATGACGATGCTTTACGATCGAAGATAACGCGCTGAAGACTATACGCCAATTTCAAGCCGCGTTCTTTCCCCCCGGAGGGATTAATCGGGCCTCGTTTAAAACGTTGGCCGCAACGTTCTTCCATTTTTTAAATCCTCCCATGGCATCATCCCATAGCCGTCGTCCCGGTTTCGAAGTGGTTCCACGCTCTCTCTCGCACGTACACGGATATACGTATCGACGTACACTTTGAAAAACAGTGTGTATACCTCGGTGTGTATACATTGGCGAGCCACTACCGTTCGCGTGCAGGTATAGGTAAGCACTCTAATTATCGAGATCTCACGTAAAACGAGTATGTAAACATAAATCGACAATCTTGTCGATCGAAGCAGGCGCGCGCGCGATCACTTAACTGCTGGCCAGGCAAACGAATTTTTCTTCCGGTGCGTAGACCGTGTCCTTGACGTCTTATTACGCCGATTAAAAACTCGCCAACCCTACCCTCCTCCTTGGACCACCCTTTTTCCTTTCTTCTCTCTCTCTTTCTTTTTTCATATTTTTCCTTCGACCGTCATTCTTTCTTTCTTTTCTCCTTCTTTTTTCCCTTGTATTTCGTAAGTTTTGTTGTTTGTTTTCACGGTCGAGATCTTTCTTTCGCCGCTTATTCCCCAACTTTTTTTCACTTTGTTGGGTTTTACCGCTGAAGGCGGTAGGTAGAGGGCAACAAAATTCCATACAGGAATCGTTCGTAATATCTTATTTTTCCTCATCCTGGTTATAGTCGTCCCCTTTTCACCTCCTTTATTCCGTTTTCTACCTTTATCGTTCGTCGATTATCTAATTTCTTTTAGCTCTATTTTCGTCGTTTCTAAATAATTTTCGTTCCATATTCCTTTCTCGCAGAGATATGTCGAATTTTTCCCTTTATTAATATTACGATAAAAAACGAAATACGCAGCTGTTCCCTATCTTCGTTCAAATTCGAAAATTCGAAGTCTCGCTAACGGTTATTGCACAAAGCATAGGCGTTCTAGCAGTCGGTGCACCAGAAACTGATAGAACTCGAGATTATTAAGAGATTTGCATATCACCGAATCGTATCTACAAAAAAAAAGGAACGCGCGCTTTCCCACTTCCATTATCAAGCAGGTTGAGACACCTATCATTATCATTGTCGTGTCTTAGAGCCGGCTGACCCGGTTTATGACTCACGGCGAGCGTAGAGAACGCGAATTGCGAAACGATTTCGATCGCGCGCACGAAAATTCCGATATATCCGTGACGTGTCGTGGATGTTTCTCTCGTGATAATTTTTTCTTTTTTTTTTTTTATAATTCAAGGATATCTCGAAGTAACACAGAACAATATCGAGAACCCTTCTATACCGTTCGAAGAAACGGAAATACTATAATTTGTATCCGAAGCCCGGGTATCTCGGGTCAAATTAACCCGCGGAAAAAATCGCAAATTCACAGACCACCACTAACCGAGCGTTTCTTTGTGTTAGCCATATCCATCCCGGTGGAACACTCTTTACCGCGGTCGATTCATAATCGTTTCACGGGAAAGCAATTTCTCGGCCGAAAGGACGATCGTTTTCCTGGCCCCAAGGCAGGCCACGAGTTTGCCACGCACGCAGGGACGATGAAATGGAATTGAAAACGGATGGAATGGAGAAAATTCACGACTGTCGTTTCCAAAAATTATTCTCGTCGATACCACGCAAACGACTATACATTTCATCATTACTGGCGGCGAAACAATCTTAATAAGATATCCTTCACAAGATATACCTCGGATATTCTCAGACGTGCACTTCCCCACTTTTACGAAACTCGCAAAAAGTTTTTTATTTTCCCATCTACGAAAAGTAGTGGTTAATCACTGGTAGCGAGGGTTTGTAATTACACTTGTAAATATGTAGCCGCATTTTTTCTCGAAGAATCATTCGACCGTGTATTCCGCGTGGATGTAATAGAGGAGAACGGTCGAAGGCAACCGAAGGTGGATGGATGCGAAAAGGAGCAAGACGAGGGTGTGATGGAAGGAGGGTGATGAGGATAGAGCGTTGCGTAGAGAAGGGGCAGAAGGGAAGAGGCGGAAACGTTGATGAGAGGAGCGTGGAGAGAGCGAGAAAGAGGGAGGACCGAAGGGAAACGGAATGGTGCGCGCACGCGAAAAAGGGCCCTGCGTAAATTGAAAGGGGGCACGGCTGTCTTGTTGTGTTTAAAAAGGCAATTTGCGGGCCTGAGATACGGCCTATATATTATGGCGCAACTGGTACGGGTGGTGGGAGATAGCTCGCCTCGATAGCGCCCCTTTGCTCTCTCTCTGGTACCCTCAGAGGGGAGAGAACGGGGACTTTCCATGGGCCTTACCGTGATCTCGTCGATGCTCGTATCCACTACTAGCGATGGACTCAACAACATCTCTCCTCTTGGACTGGATAATTTCCTTCGATATCTCGATCATTACTTTCGATTTGCATTCGAAACAAATTGATTAGATTATGCGTCCTATCTATGCGTTTATTATATATAATCTTGAAACTTGACATAATTCGATATCGCTTATATTACTTAGAATCCTATAAAATTGCATCCATTTTAAAATAAAATGTTCCCCTATTCCCTTTCAAATTTCAAATTTTTCCAATAAGTTCTTCTTTTAAATCGTAATATCCTTATTAAAGTTCTCGGAACAAAATTGTTCGAAGGGCCTTGCGAGTCCTTCGAATGCCCATCGCTAACCGTACCCCCTTTCGGCGTGCGCCCTCGAGTCCCCCTGTCCCGGTGGGGAGGGGCCCGCGCTCCCCACCGCCGACATCCGGCAAATGCATTTCTTGTGTAGCACGCTGCTCGTTTGCGGACGATACGATTTACTCTCGGTATATAGTCGTATTCAAATATCTTCTTGCTACTCGCCGGACCCCTTTTGCCTTCCTTCCTTCCTTCCTTCCTTCCCTCTCTTGCCCCTCCTCTGCCGCCGCGATCTCTCCTCGGTTTTGCGCGCGTAATCGACTCTCTCGATTTGCTCTCCAACGAACGACCGGCTAATTCCACGCAATACAGAATGAATCCGAAAGGCTAAGCTCGTTCGTTGGACGCGGTTTAATTATTGGCGGACAGATCGAAGTTGCGAGCAACCTCGTTTGCGGTTACCTTTATCTCTCTTCTTTCTCTCTGTCTCTCTTACTCGTTCGCTCTCTTTCCAGTCGGAATCGATTTCAACGCGAAGCTTAATGTTACGGGTTTTGGAAAATTTGGGAGGAGAGGCACGATATTCGTTAATTTTGCGGTTCCATCGACGACCGGATGCCTCCCGTTTATTTCCCGCCGCGGCACGCTATTACGATTAGCTTTCAGTATTGTTAAAACGATTACACGAGCCACTTAGAGAATCGTGGCTGGAAATTTTGGATAGCGCTTCGCTTGTTCAATGGGGGGATACTTGTTCGATAGGATAGGAATGCGTGTTTACGCGGTTAATTAACGGCGAGTTAATGCACCGTTGCAATTTTCAGATTAATAATAGTAGTGGAATTGGAATATGGCCGCCCCCGCTTTTATGTCATTCGATTTAAATCGTAACACAGACAGTGTTAATCTCAATAATTACAATCATACTCTCTTAACATTAATTTATAACAGATTCTTCTACGAATCTTATTTCATATTTCCCTCCCTCTCCGATCCATCGATCTCCTGTTTTACCGGCCAGCGCGGGAACAGTTCATCCATTCGTTCACAGATGTCGTTTCGTGGACGTCCTCGAATGACAGTTACCCAAGAACCTCTCTTCCTCTCCCCCTCTCTCTCTCCTCCCTCCCTCTTTCTCTCTCCCTCTTTCTCTCTCTCTCTCTACTTTCGATCGTGTCTACTAATTACACAACCGGCACCGGACACAGGCGCGATCTCGCTCTTCAACCGCGATCCATCCGCTCGTTTATTAATTCACGCTCGGGCGAAAAATCGCGGTTCCTTTCGCCGCGGAATTTTCCCTCGATCAACCGGAGGAAAGCTGGGTCGGCGCTAGGATATATATAAAGCGCATCGGGATACACACAAGCTCATTTGCACAGAATGCGTGACAATCGTAATAAATCGCGGCCACCGATATCGATCTCTCCTCTCCGCGGAGCGTTACTTACTAGCGCGATCTAGGAATCTCGGATTCCGTCGTATCTTTGGTCGGTTAGTTCGGGGAGGGGAGGGGAGGGGAGGGGGGGCCAGGCCGATCATAAATTCCCCGCCAGCCTCCAATTAACTTTATCGCAATCTGAACAAATTATACGGAACGCTGCCGATGCTAAATTCACGGACGCTGTCGAAGGGACAAACGTAAGATAAACCCCGGCGCGGCAGAAAACGAGAACACCGAAACGAGATAACGTTTATTTTTCGCGGGGTTCTTCATCCTCGCTCCGTCCTTGCGATCCATTTCGCAAAGGGGGAGAGGGGTTGCTCTCCTGTTTCTCTTTTGTCGTCGTAAGACAAGTCCGGATACCGTCTTCTTCCGCTGACTTGAAGGATCGTTTCACGGGACGTTTTTAGAATCGTTTACCCCCTTCGTCGAAACGGTTTTCATTTCCGGGTGAAAAGGTTGCCGACTTTTATTGTCCCGCTGATATTGGGCCATCGCGATGGTGGAAACATTGGTCTCCTCCGGTTTTAAACGAACGTAACTACTCTGATATTGAATTTCCTTTTTCCTTTTTTTTTTTTTTTTTTTTTTCCTTTCTTTCTTTCTTTGCGAGGAGCGTGATACAATTTCGTAGCGAAGATGTTTCGAGGCGAGAGTGTTTATCCCGAGGTAGACGTTCTTTTTTTTTTAGTTATTGCGGATGTTTATGCAAATTGAAATTTTTCTGCCTTCTCTTCGCGTATCGTTTTATATTTAAATTCCCTCGTAAATGCATAAAAATCCTCGACCTCCTGGTTATCGCAATGCTACATCTAGTAGTAATTTTATACGATAATAACTCGACGTGTTTATGCGTGTTTATTCGTGGGGATGATCCACAATTGATTTTGAAAAGTTGAAAGCAACGGATCCCTTAATTTTAGAGAGGGTGAACAATCGACAGAAACGGAGCCCCTATTTTCTATACCTATTTTCATTCTCCGCCCCGGGATCGCTGGTAAATCGTTAATTTATCCACGTTTCCCTTGTTTATCCGTCAACATGGAGCATTAAATCGTTTAATCCGTGCCGCGTGGCCGGGAAATAAGGCGGTGTTTGTTTGCGCGAGCGTTAAAGCGAATCGGAGTTCATTCTCGATTGCGAGGCGGGTTCGAGAACGGAGCCGTCCTTGTTAACCACGGTACGCGAGCGTTAACGAGTAGCTCCTGGCGAAATTGCGCGACGCCCTGCGCCACGCCCGTGTATACTAATTTCCACCGGTATTCACCAACAACCCTCTCTCTCTCTCTCTCTTTCTCTGTGTGTATGTCGCGTGGCAAACACGGGAATATTTAATCTTCCAACAATGGAACGCAACCAAGCTGTTGCGATTCACCTGGCTTTTCCCATTTCCCGTCGCGTTGCTTCAACAGGTCTGTTTTTAGAAATGGTTTCGGATTGGGATGGTCTCTTCCTTCTCCTGTGGAAGGAAAATCTTCTCTTTGGTAACTTCTCTCGATTTAGAGTATTGAACGAAGCGAAATCTGAATTTCAAGTTCTTTTTATGTAATAACAGTTAACTTTGTCTTTTTCTGATGCGCTGAAGAAAATTTAACGTACTAACGAAAGGGAAGTTTTTCGTTTTTCTATCTCAAGGATTCTCGGAGATCTCTCCGCCAAATAGATCGACGTGAAATACCGATTCGATACCGTGGTAATAGGATCGGAGAAAGATCTCCCCAAAGTGTGAATCAATCTTCTTTTCCATACCGGTACGAAACGTATCCTTAGGTTAGACCAACCTGGCTATTTATTTATTAAATATTTGTTCGCGTTGGAAGCGAAGGAGTTGGACGAAGATCCAAATTGGCAAGGGTGGAAGTTCATCTTGGAGGATCCCGCGGGGGCGATTTCCGAAAATCAATGTTTACACGTCCAATGAGATTTTCTCGACACGTGTCAGCATGTGTGTGAGATACTTGGAAATATCTTGCCACGCGAAACGGGTGTTTAAACGAGAAAATCGTCCCTTTTCATCGCGATCGAAACGTGGAATTTTTACATCGATTGCGTAAAAATTCGTGGATAATATGGTTCCGGATAAGGTTAATCTTTTACGAGGAGATCGCTTCATTATCACGCCATTAGCATAACTTTCCCTTCCTGTTGTTTCAGATCTTATCCTCGGATTAGAGTAATTTCGTGTTAGTCGTTGGGCCGGTGTTTAATTATCCCCCGCCCTACTCGTTAAAGCAATAGAACAGCTTATCGAGGCTTTTATAATTAATTAATATAACGATAATTAAGTCGAAATTCCATCATTGCACGGAACAACGGAGTCGTTATACGAAGAATAACGAACTATCTTATCCATGGTATGTCTCGTAAAAAATAGAAGAAGAAACGAATCTGTATCTATCTAGACAGCAAGCAACAAACAATCCTCGAGGTTTTCTCGAAAATCGAGCAACACCGATCGCTCGATCTCGACTCGAACACCACGATCCCCTATTTCTCGAAAACGTTTCCCTTGGCGACGCGTGCACCACGAAAACGTTTCCCCACGAGCTTGATACGTCTCCACTGTGCACACGCGTTCACGTGGCGCGCGCAAAAACGCGGAGCTGTTCGTCGCCACGGTGCGATGAACTCGGCTGCTCAGCGCGGTACTCGGCGTTTCTCCTCTCGAGGCCGTTTCAGTATTTGACTGTTCGACCAAGAGGACGTCCCTTCTCCACCTGCTTCCTCCTCTCTCTCCTCCCTCCTCCCTGTCCGTCGTCCCCCTTACACGCGGAGTTACGCGATGCATCCTCTCTCTGTCCCACCCCCTCTCTTTGTCCCTCCGCTCCCGAGGCGCGTACCCTCGCCGTGTTGCGCTCCCGGCTGCACTTCGACTCCTGTCGAGACGACAGAACGCCATAAGCAACCAATTTAAATGTAAATTGAAAAGCAGCGCGGCATACAAATTGTTCGACTCGCCGTCAAAAAATACTGCGAGCAAAGATCAAACGGAAGACAAGACGCCGGAGAGAGGGTGGCAACGCTTGTAAAAGTGAAGAGAGAGAGAGAGAGAGAGAAAGAGCTTCTCTTTCGATATGGAAAAAGAGGGAAGAGAGAGAGAGAGAGAGGTCTTCTTCGTCTCGGTGAATCGTCACGGTGGCCACAGACTCAGACACCGCTGATAAATTCTTCGTTAAATATTTGCGTTCCTCGGCTGGTTCCTCGGATGGTCTCTCGGTGAACACCGTTCACCGGAAGTTACCAGTCCTTCCTTCCATCCGTCCGTCCGTTCTGGTGTCTCTCTTTAACGATGAATCTTCGTTACACTTTGCCAAGGAAGGGAAAGTATTTCTTCGACTTTGCCAGGAAGTTGGAAAAGTTTTTTTCGTGGTCACGATTCGAGACATTATACAGCCTGATTTTGTTTTCGTTCTCATTTTTCCGAAAAATATAATTCTCCTGAGTTAAGTATTTTTTTAAATTAAAATTGGTACTATTTTTCCAACGATGATTTTGGGAAGGAGGGAGGGAAAAAAGAAAGAATAGAGGTTGTATAATATATTTATAAACGACGAGATCAAAGTAGATGCCATTCCTCTCACGATTCCATCTCTCTATATTTTATAAAACTCAGATATAGAAAAATAACGAAGTAGAAGAAGAGAAAGAACGGTATTCTTCCCTCTAATTTCTCATTGTCGTACTTTCGTACCATTCGTTTTCATTCGAGCACCATTCTTCGAAAAGTTTGAAGATGGCCCACGCGTTCCACCCTTTTGTCCTCCGTAGTCTTTCCAAACCGTAGTCATTGTTATCAACTATCCGAATGAATAATTGAAACCCGGTATTTAACGCTTCGCCTGTGGCCCCTTTTGTTCGATGATGCTCTCTTCTTCTCCCGGCTCTTATTTAAATTTCAATTAAAGTGTACTTCCTTGTAAACTCGAACCAATGGAGGGAACGCTCGCCTCGTCCCTCT